TCAATGCTTTATTATAAAATAGGCTTTGTCTTAGATGATTTTGCACAATTGTATGCTAACATAAGAGCTCTGAGCATGTTTGAGGCAGGCTAAGGCTAAACTATGATATTGGGTAGATCAGGTATATTAAGTGCATATTTTGACTTATTTTCAACTTAGGGTTTGTTGAGTTATGACGCATTATAGATAAAGGAATATCTGTACCTCTTGCCATCTATTTTTTTTTTTTTTCTTTTTCTACCAGCTGAGAGTCAGAATGGCAGAAATTCCCATGTTTTCCACATCCTTGGCCCATGACTTACAGCTGGCATGCAGTACAGTATCTGTAAGGGAGCCACTCAAAAGTCCTCACCTGCTCAGGTCTTGAATTTGGGTAGTGAGGTTTCAAGTAGGAAGAGTTTGAGAATTTGGGAAGTGAGAGAAATTTCTGTTTGTCAGATAGATAAGAGAAAAGGAAGAGATAAGTAAGACAAGTATTATAGCAGAGCAGAGTCTGAGTGCATGCCAGTGGGTGTCACTCCAGCTGACCAGGGCTTCCCCACTGGCAGTTACTGTTATCTGAGGTGAAGACAGCAGCACCTGGATTCATCACCAGGAGGGATCCTCAATTTAGAACAAGGTATTTATGAAGGAAAAGATGCTTCTCATCTCCACACTTAAAAGTGTAACCTGTGTTTATTTGAAAAATTCTCTTATTCAGTACTGTGCCTGGTGATGCCAGGTAAGTGAGGCCATTCAGAGGTGCTTTCAGTGGGTGCTTCACCCTCTTTTCTGCTGAAACATTGGCTCTCTGGCATAGCCTCTTCCTAACTGTCCCTGTTGTTGCAGAGATGTCCCTGATGGAAGAGGTGCCCATTCAAAGGTGAGGTCTGTGAAGCTGCTTGAGGTTCTGAGTGCTCTGGAGGAGGAAGAGTCTCACCACTGCAGGGAAGAGATTTTCATTGCTCCGCCTGACAATGCTGCAGGGGAATTCACTGACGAGGACTCAGGAGATGAAGATGGCCAGCGAGGTGCCCACCTGCCTGGCAGTGTGCTGCATGCTGCAGTCCTGACTGAGGACTCTGGCACGGGGGAGGATAATGATGACCTGGAGCTGCAGCCTGCCAAGAAGAGGCAGAAGATGGCAGTGAAGCCTCAGCGTGTTTGGACCAAAAGAGATATTCGACCAGATTTTGGTAGCTGGACAGCGTCAGATCCTCATATTGAGGATCTTAAAAGCCAGGAGTTGAGTCCAGTGGGCCTCTTTGAGTTGTTCTTCGATGAAGGAACAATTAATTTCATTGTTAACGAAACCAATCGTTATGCTTGGCAGAAAAATGTCAATCTGAGTCTCACGGCCCAGGAATTGAAATGTGTTCTGGGCATTTTGATTTTAAGTGGGTATATCTCCTATCCAAGGAGGAGGATGTTTTGGGAAACCTCGCCTGACTCACATCATCATCTTGTGGCTGATGCTATTAGAAGGGACAGATTTGAATTGATTTTCTCATACCTACATTTTGCAGATAACAATGAACTTGATGAAAGTGACAGGTTTGCCAAGGTCAGGCCCCTCATTGTCCGAATGAATGGCAACTTCCAGAAGCATGCACCCTTGGAGGAGTTCTACAGCTTTGGGGAGTCCACATGTGAGTATTTTGGGCACCGAGGGTCTGAGCAGCTGCGTGCAGGAAGGCCTGTGCGGCTTGGCTACCGGATCTGGTGTGGCACAACCAGCAGGGGCTACCTGGTGTGGTTTGAGCCCTCGCAGGGCACGCTGCTCACTCAGCCAGACCGGAGCCTGGATCTGGGAGGCAGCATGGTAATAAAATTTGTGGATGCGCTTCAGGAGCGTGGTTTTCTGCCATATCACATATTTTTTGACAAGGTTTTTACCAGTGTCAAACTGATGTCCATTCTGAGGAAAAAGGGGGTGAAGGCCACAGGAACCGTTTGTGGGCATAGGACTGAGCAGTGTCCCCTCAAAGATCCCAAGGAACTGAAGAAAATGAAGAGGGGTTCATTTGATTATAAAGTTGATGAGAATGAGGAGATCATTGTGTGCCGCTGGCATGACAGCAGTGTCGTCACCATCTGCTCTAATGCTGTGGGCATAGAGCCTGTGAGGCTGACCAGCCGTCAGTCGGGGACAGCGAAGGCACGGACCCAGGTTCACCAGCCATCACTGGTGAAGCTGTATCAGGAGAAGGTGGGGGGCATTGGCCGGATGGACCAAAATATTGCCAAGTACCAGGTGAAGATCCGAGGCATGAAGTGGTACTCGAGCTTCATTGGCTATGTCATTGATGCAGCCCTGAACAATGCATGGCAGCTGCACAGAGTGTGCTGCCGAGATGCCCCAGTGGATCTGCTTGCCTTCCGGAGGTACGTTGCCTGTGTGTATCTAGAGAGCAATGCGGACGTGTCCTCACAAGGCAGGAGGAGCAGGCGGCTGGAAACAGAGACCCGCTTTGACATGGTTGGGCACTGGATCGTCCACCAGGACAGAAGGACCCGCTGTGCCCTATGCCACTCACAGACCAGCACCCGCTGTGAAAAGTGCCAGAAGGGTGTCCATGCCAAGTGCTTCCGGGAGTACCACACCCGCTAATGCCGGGAGGCATGTCACCTTCATGATGAGATGTTTCAGCTGAGTGCAGACAGCAGTTCAAGTACTTCTGTTTTATTTGTGTTGGAAAAAAGACCTGAATTCCTGATGACCTTGTTTTATTTTTTTCTCCCTACTTGCATTATAGTTATCAGTTTTACTGTTTCTCTTATGCTTATATGTATTATAAATTAATATTTATACTAGTGATCTTAAATATTTGCAAATCTCTATTTTACACTGTTATTTAAACTTATGGACCCTTTCCATTCAAATAAAAACCTTTCTTTGGGATATATTTGAGTCTTAGAGTAATCAAAGAAAAACTTGCATGAACAAGAAAAAGGTGTTAACCATTATATGCAGTGGTTTAAATCTGAGATACAGGCAATGGTGTATAAATATTTTATCAATATGATGGATTTCTTAATTATACTAACACACATTAGTCTAAGGCTATTGGACTGTCCAGGGATAGGTAATCTGTTTTGTATTTTTTCAGAGAGCTAAAGTGGTAGAATTCATATTTTCTTGATAAAAATGTTTTCCTAATATATTTATATCAATGTGGAATCCATTTTTATAAATAGCATGAGGTAAGGATCTATTCTTCTCCCAGTGGATAGTCAGCATAATTTATTAAAAATTATATGTATTTCCTGGGGCAGTGCCTGTGACTCAAAAGGGGTAGGGCTCTGGCCCCATATGCCAGAGGTGGCAGGTTCAAACCTAGCCCCAGCCAAAAACTGCAAAAAAAGTATATGTATTTCCTCACTGATTTAAATTCCACCTTTATAAATTCCTAAACTTAGGAGGAATTTTTTTTTTTTTAACAAGGAAACATTTTTATGATGGAAAAATCTAGTGGAATGTATTCTAGAAGAATGAAAGAAATCACATAAAAAATGGGTATATCAGAAATTAAGACACTGTGTTGAATATCTTCTCTTTGGGAACTTTTCTATGACAGCACAAAAAGGGAACATATCAATTAGTTTAACTGTATAAAACTGTAAAATTTACATTCATCATAAAAAATTAAGTGCAAAAGTCTTGGGAAAATACCTTGCAAATTATTACATTTGTAATATCCTCAGTGAATAAAGATCTCACAAACACATAGATAGCAAGAGAAAAACGTGCAGTGTTTTATAAAACAACAAATGATGGAAGATGAAAAGTGAACAGTGAAGATATATAAGAGACTCTGGTGGCAATAAAATGCAAAGAAGAACAATTAAATGCCCTTTTTTGTCAAATGCATTTGCTGTTCGCAGGTGATTGCTGGTGGTGGGAACATGGAAAGGAGGTGGCTTATGCAGCATCTGAGATGTGTAGGCCTGAGCCAGCTCGCTGCCTCTGAGTGTGATCTAGTATGTTCTGTCCAAAACCTTTAAACTTATTCATACAGAATAAAGCAAACATTCAGTCTAAAATGCTATAAATTAAAAGAGGGAGAAGGAATAGATTTCTTTTTTTTGTTTGGAGACAAAGTCTCACTATGTCACTCTTGGTAGAGTGCAGTGGCGTCACAGCTTACAGCAACGTCCAACTGTTGGGCTTAAATGATTCTCCTGCCTCAGTCTCCTGAATAGGGGACTATAGGCACCTGCCACAATGTCTGACCATTTTTTGGTTGCAGTCGTCATTGTTGTTCAGCAGGCCAGGGCCCGGCTCATACCCACCAGCCTCAGTGTATGTGGCTGGCGCCTTACTCACTGAGCTATGGGCGAGCCAAGCAGCAGATTCTTCTTAAGATAGAATCCCACTTAATAAATGTAGAAGGAAAGATGGAAATAAAACACTGCTATGACAAACAGCACAGTATAATTTTGCAGGCAACAACTATCAGTGGATGCTGTGCTTAGTAGGGCAAACATCTCCTCACAAGGTATCCTCAGTTACTAACGAAAACAGTAACTCCTCAGTGCAGAAATCAGGCAGACACTGCCTCGACCAAGCCCTCCAAATCAATTCCATCTGTAACAAGACATAGACCCTGACCCTCTCCCCCTCAATATGGTGTGCTGTATTATTACTTCTGCCCAGATCATGAAGAGACATGAGGCAAACACAAATTCAGGAACATTTCACAAAACATTTGGCTAATACTCTTTGAAAGTGTCAGAGGCATGAAAGACAAGGAGAGGATGGAACTGTTTAAGATTGGATGAGACCAAGGAATTAGGAAAAAAATGGGTAATACTGGCCTCAGATCTACAACAAAGATTTCAAGAAAAAGTACAACAGTGGGACAACTGATGAAATTTGAATAAGATCTATAGGATAGTTAATATAAATATTAAGTTCCTGAGTTGGATAATTGTATTGTGAGTATGCAAGATGTTCACCCCTGGGGAAGATGTGTGAAGGGAACTACTCTACTGTGGTAACCTATTTGTATTTTTGAAACAATTTCAGAATGAATATTAGAAAAATGTTCATACATTTGATGCACAATTTCTGTCTTTAGAAATCTAGCCTGGACACTTTCAGATAGTAGTTGTAACAAGAAGTTTGTTGTTGAGCAAATTATTTTCAATTTTCTTCTAGATCATGGTAATCAGGAATATTAGCAGATAGTTGGCCAGGTATTTTTACCTTAATGATGGTGTTATGGTGTGAGAAAAGACCACATGGCCAATTTCAAAGTGTCTGAATGGAGTCTTTATTTACCTGGCCAGCAGCTGTCTCCGCAAGTCTCAGAGAGATCAGGAGAGAGCAGCCCCAACCAGGTTTGAAGTAGAGTCTTTATAGGGTTAAAACTATAACCCTATAACCCTAAAATTAATGCAGCAAGCAAGCTGCTGCATTTCACAAGTGGCACATAATAGAAGCAGGTTTATGGCACGTGGTTGAGCAAAATAATAGCTAGATACAAAAACATTTTTAACATCAATGGGGTCAGCATGACCTTATCCTGTGTGTGTTCCATGGAGTCAGCAAGGCTTCATCCTGTATGTTCATAAGGCCCTGTTGTCCCCTTCTTTGTTTCTTTTTGGGAAGGGGAAGATTGGGGAGGGGGGAGAACTCAGGAGCCTCATGTAGGTATCATGCCCCTTCTCCCACCTAAGCACCACCTCAATGTTCCAAACAAATGAATTGAAATTATTGTGAAAATCTAATTAGACTCTAGAAGCTGCTGAATAGCCAACTATGACTCTTCTCTTAAGAGTTAAAGAAAATATCACTACTGACTGATGATTAGTCTCAGGTTGTAATAGATGTGGGAGCATGTACATTCTTCCCTAGGGAACTACTGAAGCCTACACTAATATTTAGTAGAAAGTTCTGTGGACAACGTGAAGCATCATAGCTGGCTGTGAAGG